GCACCCCTTTAGTTGTAGAAAACTCCAATTTAATCCAAAACTTGTAGAATTCTCTTTATTGACTCCAAAAGATTGGAAAACACTTTAAACAATTAAGATAGTTTGCAACCTATCCAATTGTGTAGCAATGGACTCAATCTTGAACACTTTGATCAAATAAGCCGTCCATTCAAGAACGTAAATGACTCTTCTCACTAGCTTGATCAATGATCTTCATGGAGCACATAGAGTCAAACACTCTTGATACTCTTGAGCACTTATTTCCATGAGGTCATCATCTCCTTTGGTTTGAACCCCAAAGTTAATGACATTCTCATCATCTTGATCATAGCTCTCTTGAACCAACTCCCTATCACATAGGTAGTCAAGATCCATCCTTTTCTTCCTAGATTGGCCTGCAAAGTAAACTTGGCATTCCAAAACTAGAATGAAGGACTAGCTCATTCCCCTCACTTGGAGAATCACCATGGAAGGTTACATGATTCTCATCATCCCCTCCTTCTTTAAGAGGATTCGTCCTTGAATCGTCAATCTCATACCTGCACAAGGAACAAACGAGATATAAGGGTTAGTAAAATCCTCACCCTCACCACACTCTGATTTTCTCTCATTGCGTGCATTTTTTTTCTGTTTCCACGCTATTTTCATGATATTCGTGGAAGTGACTACCTAGAACATAAATTCTAAAATTTGGCATGACTAATACACTGTTGTGATCTGTGTCTAGTTCTGAGCTACAAGTAGATGAGAAATGCTGTAAACCTGAGACTTCCTTTGTGGTATCCATTCACAGCCTGTTTGTTTGAAAAAAAAAAATGGATCAACTAAAACCTTAGGGGTAACAGCAAGGAACCACCACAAAAAGTTCCAAACTGTTAGAGTAATAAGGGTTGAGGAATAAGGCAGTAGAGAGATAAGGGTGAATAACACCCCTCCCAAAGGTGTAAGGTTGGTCCATCTATGTTCAAAAAAAAAAAAAAAACAACAACAACAAAATAGACAGACAGAAAAGGCTGTGAAGGAAGTCCATAACTGAAGCCTCAGTAGGTAAATCAAGTCAAAGTAACTTGGGCAAAACCAGATCACAAGAATGACCACCACACGCTGTAACCGGTTAATTTAGAATGGATTGATAGGTTGGGCATAATTGACACTTGTGGCATGTATTCTAATTTCATGTGAAGGTTGGCTGTTTGACTCTGGATTGCAGAAGGATTTGATGTCTTTAAGTTTATGTTTTCTTTACTTGAATCTGAGACAAAAGGTTGACAATGTTGTTTCTATGTTCACTGTCACATGCCTGAGTGAGAATCTTCACTCAGGGAAGTAAGTCAGTATTCAGTCATTTAGACAATGTTGTTTTCCCTGTTTCTTATGTATAATTCTGTAAGTGCCAGCAAGAGTTTAGTTGTTTTGCTTGAGGACAAGCAACTCTTCTAGTTTGGGGGAGTTGATAATGTTTTATTTTTTACATAAAAGTATCACAATTAACTCTGAATTTAGTAAGAAATTAGGGGTATTTCTTAGTATTAGTACATTTCACTTAACTAGTTTTTGTGTTTTCTATTAGGTTAGGACTTGATTGAACAATTACTAAAAAATGGGGCCAAAGGAACAAATTGTGGGCTGCTGATACAATTTTGCTGAGCTGGTCAAAAAAGCACTCCCAAGACACAAAGCATCTTGACATTAATGAGTGTGTCTCTCATTTGAATTCCAAAGGCATGCATGTCTCTTTGGCCGAAATTCCAACCACCCATGCTGATCAATGAGGTTGCTGCTGCCACTACTGGAAGAAGAGAAGAAGACCAGTCAATTTCGGATTCCAGACACAAGGCCTAGGAAGGATTAAACGATTCACAAGCATGGGGAGGCTCTCTTGATTGAAGAACCGGCTTCAGGGCTCTATAAAAGGGGAGCTGCACTCTCAGAAATGGACATCTCTAGCTACACCTTTCAATTGCCAAGAACACACGAAAAAAAAAAAAAAACTCCAGAAGAAGGCAAGAAAGAAGAAGGAACAACAACAACTCAGTAAGGAAGCCAAGTTGAAGAAACAGCCATCCCAGTCACTGCCTCACTTCCATGAGTGAACTCTTTCGCTCTCAGGAGTGGTTCAGAACTGCACAAGCTTTTTTCTCGTCTCTTGACTGTTAGCTTGAACTTCGTTTTATGATGCATACTTCTATGATGTCTTTTGATGTAGTAGATGTAGCATTAATCTGCATGCGTAGCTAAGTAGCTTCCAGGGATTAATCTCCTCAACCTATGTTGGAGTTGTTGTAATGCACTGGTTCTGTTCTTCGTTTTGAAGTTGAAAGTTTTTCTACATTCATTTACTTGATCACTAAATTGAATGCATGCTAGAACTGAGGGAGATCTGGAAAGATAAACTTGGTTTGGATTGTTTCAACTTCACCTTATGACATAGAGGTAACAGTCTATGATTTTAACTAAGATAGGAATATACTTAGTTGACATGAGCATTCATGTAAGCCTGAGATCTTAATGACTTTTTAACTGGAATCAATCATTGAAAAATAGATTGTTAAGGTTGCAAAGATAACTCTAGGAAAAATGGGAACTGACTTAGAGTTATAAGTGAGTTGAATGAACAAGAACTTAACCATTACAGTGCTAATTAAACAACTACTGCAGTAGGAAGAGGAGATGAACACCCCTAGCTTTTATTCCCCAGTGTGACTGTATCCATTCCCCTGAGTGACACCTTGTCTAAACTGGTAGTCTTTTAACAATGAATTTGGTAATTAGCTGTCTTCGTGGGATCGACCTAGCTTCCATTATCTACAAAAATCACAATCCAAGCTAGTAATATTTTTGGTGAACTCGACACGCACCAAGGATTAGGGCATTTTATGTTGAAAAGATAGTCGCCAAAAAAGATGATGATATGAAATCGAAGTTTGATGAGAGTAGAGAGGGCAATGAAGATAATCAACTGAAAAACGATGACAAACTGAAGAGAGCTTAGGCGGAGATAGAAGTCGTTAAGCCGATTGAAGATCGACAAGTCGAGTCAAAGTTAAAAGATGATAGTAGTCACTTGGAGCGTGCAGCGTTAAGTAAAACCAATGTAACGTCAATAATCAACATAGAAGAGGGCTGCAAGTAGACTGGTTCTGATACAGTTAGTGATTCTACTATCTCCAACCTGGTTTTCATAAAGTTCGGCAGTCAACCTGAGGTAAGATGTGACCAGCCGATTCCTTTTCCGTTGACTGTGCAAGGCCGAGATTTGTTAGCAGTCAGCAACAAGGAGGGCGTCAAGAAGAATGATTCAGATACAGTCAGCAGTACTACCATGACAAAATCAGTTCCTAAGAAGTTTAACAACCAGTTTCAGGTTTCGCATAACAAGATGGTTACTTCTACAATGAATTCTCAAGGTCAGTCGTTGTCAACATTCACAAAGGAGGTCAAGAGTAAGGATGTCACTTCTGGTTCTAAATTTCAAGATGTTGAGAAGCGAAAAGTCAACAGTACTTCTAGTTCTCCCATTAAAAATGGCCGATTCAGTCCAAAATCGGGCCTCGATGTTAACATGGCGCAAGAACAGAGGAACCGTAGAAGCTATCCACTAAGGCACAGATCACAAGAGTCCAGGTCCAGTTCCAAAGCCAATAATGGTTTTAAAGGGAAGTCTCAGCCGTCGCAAAGAAGTTAGCATGCGCCAGTATTTAATCTGTATTATTCATATTATGCGTGGGTCCGTATTACGTTATGTGTCCCGTGGGATGGTGTTATGTGGATCTAAGGGCCACGTGGAATGTGTATGGTTGGTGGTAGCGACGTGCTTATTAACGTTCATATCAAAGACATATTTAATATGAACGTTCAGGGGGGCATTATGTTTGGCCAATTTTTTGCTATTCAGGCCGACAAGAGATGTGAGTCTTGGCCAGGAGTTTCGGTGGATTCATATGATTATGACTGAGGTTTTAAGGCTCTAAAATAACCCAAAAGTGGCCAAAATACATTTGGGATCAATATGGGTTGGTTGAGTGTGAACAGTTTCTGAATTGGAGAAGGAAAGTATAAGTTAAGTGGGAATATAATTGTTCCATAATCGGCTGCTTGATTAATTGACAATTCAGGAAGATTCTTCCTTATTTCTTGCTCCTTTTTATAAGGGAAATTATTAATAATTAAAGGAGATATTTTTAGGAAAGAATTCTATTACCAAATTAAGAGCTGATTGTGAGAAGAGTCATCAACCGATTGGGAGATTGCTGCGGGAATAATTGCCTATTTTTAAGGAAATTGACCATGTTAAGCTACATTTTCTCCAAGGAATCATAGGACAATAAGGGTTTCGTCCAAGCACTATAAATAGAGGCAGCCATGAAGAGAAAATCATCACCAATCAACCATAAAACTGGTTTTCTTTCTTTCTTGTACCGTTTATCATGTTTTTCCTTTTCCTATGGTAGTTCATTACGTTCTATCATGCTTTCTTAGCTCCTAGCTTAGCAATAGAGTTGTTTGCTTTTTTCTCCTACATAGAATTATGTAGGTGTTCACCGTTTTCTCCTCCAACGAATTCAGTTATTTTGTAATAGGTGTTCTAACACTTATGTGAGTCCGACTACCCTCTGAACGTCTGTCCTGTCTTTGTCTTGTGTGTCATAGCATATCATCGACGAGGTCTAGTCGGCGCTAATACCTTTGTAATAGCGTGTCATCGGCACCATCTACAGTTTGCCGGCGCTAGGATTTTCTACTTTCTGAGTCAAACGTCGTCTCTTCGATTTTTTCCCACTTTCCCTATTTTCTACCTGTCTTTTTCAAACTAAAACCAATAACCCTAAGTCCTCGATCCTGGTCCGAGGCCGGTTCAAACTCAACCACAATCGTCTGATTAATTGTGTTTTGGGTGATTTCTGTTTCCCTTTTTCCACGGTTTCGGGTGTACAATTTTCACGCAAAACACATTCCTAATGGAATCCTTGAAGAGTAGTAACACTTCTATAGCAAAAAACATGCTTCAAATTCAATGTCTTCTTGAGGAGCTTAAATATCTCGAACAAATTGTAAGAGCTAAGCTAACTAGGAACTCACCAGACGAGGAAACTGCTTTTGAAATAGTTGAAGTAGTGTGTAGGAGAATAGCACTTTTCTCTAGCTCATTCCATGCTGACAGCAAGAACTTTGAGAAAATGATTGGCTCAATGCCTCAGTTGCTGGATAAGGTAGAAGTTATCAAGAAAAACCTAGGAGGAATAACTTTTCCTAAGTTCGTCTTTCCCAAGACTGATCCTCAGGGATTCATTGATTTGTTAGTAAATAATATAAGGAAGCTTCTGGAACATGATCCCGAGTTAATTGCACCATCACATGATATTAAGGAGATTTTACTTCATTTGGAGTCTTTGGAATATTTCTTCAGGGAAGTAAAAACTTCAAATTTTGAGATGGTTGAATTGGAGGATCTTGGTAATCACATCATCGACATAGCATATAAGCTGGAATTTGTTGTCGACTCAATTCAATTTGATAGCCGTTTTCAGCATTCAATGTGGTTATATGATCTGTTGGTAGATGTGAGGTTCGTGAATCAACAAGTCTCTAAACTCCGTGAGATATCTTCTTCAAGCAAAATTAAACATCCCCTAGTGATTTCATCACAGGTGATACCAAGAGATGCCACACCAGATATCAATGGTCTTCTCATTGGTTTTGATGATGAAGAAAAAGCAATAGTCGAGCTCCTCACCAGAGGAACCTTGTAGCGAGATGTTATTTCCATTGTTGGCATGGCGGGTAGTGGCAAGACCACAATTGCTGCAAAAGTAAAAAATAACCAGAATATCATGTTCCATTTCCATCGCCGCGCACGGTGTACTGTTTCACAAATGTACTCCAAAAGGGAATTGTTGCTAGAGGTATTGAGTCACCTGCCTGTACTCACTGAAAACATCAGTAACTGAGTGATGATGATCTCATGTCCAAGTTACATATCTAATTGTTATGGATGACATTTGGGGCACTCCAGTCTGGAATGACTTACTAAATTGTTTTCCCAATGAGAGCAGGGGAAGTAGAATTTTGATAACAAGTCGTAGTCGGGAGGTGCTGTAACGGCTCGGCTAATCCACGCATGATATGCTTATATTTTACCTATTTATTATAGCCCTAATTTGTGATTTTTGCAATATATTTTGAGTACAAATATGCTATTTATGTGATTTTATCTTTAATTGTAGGAATTGTACTCAAATGAAGAATTGTTGAAGTTTTGAGCTAAAATCGAATTAAAAGCAACTCAATGGGAAAGAATTGAAGATTGAAGCAATTGGTGGGGAGGAAATTAATGAGTTTAGAGAATTGGAGGGCCAATGATGCAATTTTGGATTGGTTAATTAAGTTTTTGGAAAATTGGCCGAAGGTTATGTTGGTTATGCGGCCGATTTGGGATTGGAATTGGATAAGAATTTTAATCCCGATATTAATTGGGAAACAAGTTTTCTTGTTCTTCAAGGAGTAGGGTTTAGCCGAAAGCCTATAAAAGGAGGATTAGGGATTTATTTTTACAACAGAACTGGACCGAACTTCACCGAAACCCTACGGTTAAACACCATCTCCGCTGCTGCAATTTCTCCCTCTCCTAGCCGACCACCTTCTTTCCTCCTTCACCGGCAGCAACACCTCCACCTTGTTTCCATAACCACCACCTCTCCTCCATCACCACACACCCTTCGCAGCTCCTCTTTCTTCTTCCTCTTCACCACCGCGCAGCACCACCACCGAAGCCGCCACCTTGCCTTCCTGGTCACGCCGCACCACCCTCCTCCATTCCCACGCAGCAGCAGCAGCAAAACCACCTTGCTCCCTCTCTCCACCGTGTTTCCTCCCATCATCATCCACGCGAAGCAGCCTGAGTCCACTCTTCTTCCTGCCTTCACGTGCGCAACCACCGAAGCGAGCTAAGCAGCAGCTTCTCATCTTCAATCCACACCACCGCAAATCCGGCGAAGCGAGCAACCGAGGGGAGTTTTTGGCGGTTTTGGCTTCATTCGGTTTTGAAGTTTCAATTTATTTAATTTATTTATTTTTTATGTCTCTAAATATTATTGAATTACTTTTAATAATGTTTAGTGGCTAAATTCTTTTAATCTAGGGCTTGGGTGTAGCCACCGAATTTATTTGGTTTATTTGGTTTATTATTATTTGACTTTTCCATTAATTAATATTTGTTATTCTTGTTTTAATCCGTGTAAGTAATTGGCCACTATTTGCATGTCTGAAGATACTAATTGAAGTAGCGAGAGTGGAAGATTAGTATTAGTTCGTAGGAATAATAAACTTAGGTTGTAAGCTACGAGAGTAAGATTATAACCTTTGCAATATTTGATTCTTAATGGTCTTAATGTGCTTTTGTTAATCCCTATAGTCACGAGAGTAGTCATCGGGTTAATCTGAGTAAGAGAATTATAACACGAGAGTGTATAGTTCTTAATTAGGTGAATCGTTGTGAGATTAATGGAAGTTAAAAGTCAGATAGTTATGAATTGAACTAACCCAAATATTCGGTAGGTGAACCCAATGTCCTAGGTTTTCTTTGTCTGATTATTTGAATTAATATTATTTTCTTTTATTTTATTTATTTATTTTAGGTTTAAAGTTTATAAATCTGAGATCATCATTTATCTAGATAATAATAGGAGTAATTTATACTTGGTAATTAGTAACCTTCTCTGTGGGAGCGACCTTGCTTTCTGCTTTACTACTAGTAATTGTATTAAGTAGGTAATTATTATTTGACTAGTGTGACGACGGCTTGTCAACGCACTTGCTTCTCCACGTCATATTTCGCGATCAGCTGAGTCGTCCGTCGAGCTCTCGCCCAAGGCGCAATACTATCAAGTCTCCACTCAAATTTGCCAATGCGATCCCACTACAAAATGAACGTGCCAACTTTCTGTTGGAGTTCTTTGATCTTTCTTCTAAACCTGGGAGGGGATAGGGGATAGTATATATAGATATAAAAGGGGTGAGCGCCGAGCTCAATGAGGTCCTCACGATACTACTTGATACTTTTAATAAAATAACTTTGAAAAATCATACGATGGTAAAACCTTTTTATCAAAATATTTGTCGCGCAACAAATCAATCAAACAATCACTTTAATCAATTAACAATAGGGGTGGATACGGAAAATCTAGAATGACATGTCAAGGGTTGATGTGACACAAGGACGTTATTCTAAACCAAATTTTAACGATCAATCAATACTTCGCCGGAAGGAGCGACCTTACCGACTAACAATGACAATTCATAATTCAATTACCTTACTCCTGTCGCGACCGAGGTCACTCCGTCGAGTTTCCCCTACGATACGGCCACTGACGGCAAAGACTGGTGACCAAGCCCGATGCCGGCTCACGTTCCTTGCTCGCCCAGTGCCTGGGCCCGTACTCCAGGGCGACCGAGATCACCCGAGCGTGTGTACACATCAACGATTGCATGCACAAACAATACACTTTTTTTTTTGGGGGCGATAAAGAACACCACCAAATACAATACATTTAATAATAACAATGATAACTCTCCTGATATGATATCACCATCAGAAACATTTTCATTCAATCATTTCATTTCAACACGATACACTTAACACTTGCAGTCAATCATGTAACCAGTCAATACTATCCAAACACATAGTCAATTACAATCAAATACGATAATACTTATAACAATTACCCCGGGGCGGTAACGTACACCACCGGGTCATTCAAGATGCTTCTTAATAACAATTAATATCGTTTAGAACGTGTTCATGTGTGCGGTGTCTTTAAACATATATGCCGAACTCCCAGTTTTTGAAAAGAGTGAGGATTAGTCACCTGATCTGCTAGTAACACAAATCGTACGTAGACGCTTGCCCTGTACGCACATTTTATTATATCACTATATTATTTGAGCTTGGCGCAATCAACACCTCAGTTTCTTAGCTTACTTAGCAAAAGTGTTTAAAAAAAATGGTGCATCATATGTCAAGAAAGAGTCTTGAACTCTTTATTAGTGGAGTTGGATCATTTTAAGTTCATACAATATTTTGATTCGTCAATGTTGGGCTCCAGTTTAAGGATTAAAGTCTCTTACTATAACATAATTTATTACTCATTATTGTATAGAGTTATATATGTACATATATATATACTAATCTTATAAGGTTATACTAATCTTATTAGAAAAGTCTTGTTCCTAAGATCTACTGTTAGTATTTAAGAAAAGGTAAGTTATTTAACCCCCATAGTACACATTCTGATTTATGCCTACACGTAGCTGGCCATATAGATGTTTGTGGTATGCTAAACATCATATTTACTCCATATTAACTAATCAAATTAAGTATGTGGTGCGTACCTACACTAGTGAGAGTTCTGTCTCATTAATTAAGACCATATACGCAATATCCAATTACAAGAATTAATTAACGCAAGCCTGCACAAGTACTACTAATCATCCTAAGTAAAATAATTTATTATTTTGTATGAGTCTGGGACATCCCAAGTTAGCGTAGTAAATGAAACTATTAAGTCTGTGTACTCCTAATCACCTTCTTGTTTGATATTGACAAAGTAGTACTAATCACCAACATAGATTTGGGTTAACAAATGAATTATAAACATCACCCTGTGACCTAAATCTAGATCAAAACCATGAATTATCGTAGAAGTATATGGAATGGTATTAGATCAGAATTTTAGATAAAACACCAACTTAATAGATCATTTACTTTCGAGCCAAATTTCCTACTGTTTGAGGGTTGCTCCTTTTGCAACCAGTAGCTAGCTGCCACGCTCTCTTTCCTCTTCTATTTGAGTGGGGAGGTTCTAATATTTTGGTTAGTTCAGCAAAGTAGAGAGTCCATCCAGGCGAGAGGAAATATGTAGTTTTAACGAGGTTTCCATGTGCTCATCGGCTGCCCGTAGTAAAGAAATGGTTAAGTTGTGAATATGGAAACATGATAAGGCTCGCTAATATATATAACTAGAGTTGTGGGTTCCAGAAAATTATAAGGCGGCGGATAAATAATATATGCCAAAGAAATTGAGCAAATTTTAACTTTCGTAGGAGGGGCGTGAGTTTTGCATCGGGATGCGTGAGTACGCAAACTTTCCTTCCAACTTAAAAGATCTGGACCATAAAAACGTGCGGTCCGTGGGGTGGACTTGAATAATAAACTGTACTAATGTACGAAAATTTGGCCCATTATCCGTATACCTTTGGAAAGCTCTCTGAGTCTAGATTATTATGCAACAAGCGGATTGCAATTTGGAATTTTCTACATGAAGTTATGACTATTTTACTAAAATTGGGCGGTCCGACTTGCTTAAATATTACCTACAAATTTTGAGTAAACTGTTCAACTCGTTTGTTGTAATGGTAATTACTTAATCATTTTCATGGATAACATTTCTCTGCCACCATCTTAAATCCTACAACCTTTTAACTTAAGTTATCAGATAATCTTTATTTTTTTATTTTTTTATTTAATCTTTGATTAAGGGTGTTAACCTTACAAATAAACTCTTTGCATATAAATATTTCTAATTGATATGATTTGGATCCAATTTATAAAACCATGTTAAATGTCTTGTTTTCTCTTTGTCCTCTTATTTTATTTAATTAATTCACAAAGCACGCCAAAATTTTAGTATCATCACAGGTGGCCTTGAAAATCAACCCTGTAAGCAATCCTCATTCCGTTCGCTCGTTTTCAGAT